ATCAGCAGATCCACCGTGACTGCATTTACCTTTGAACAGGGATAACATTTTATCATTTTATCAAGAGATATTGAAAACATACAAAGACTTTATCATAACACATCAAAAGAGATGATTGCTCCAAGTTACCTGTAGGTTTTGATGAGGAGATTAGGTTAAAGTAGCCTGAAGTCAGAAGTCCCTGGTTCAGCACATCAGGCAGAATGTTGTTAGTACAGTTCTCTCCTATGCAACTTCTGCAAGTTGGAGTATTTTGTCCTGCAGAAATATCAAATAACAAAGAAAAAATTATTGATTTATATTTTAGTAAACATTACAAATACTACTACAAATTTAATCTATATCATATTTAAAGTGGAATTCTCAACTCTAAACACAGACAGTGGGGGGAGGGCGCCTACCTGCCAAGTTCTTAAGAGGTTGGTCAGGTCTGATCAGAGCACTGTATGGAGCTTTATTTCCCAGCTCCACCCAGTTACTGTGGCTGTAGAAGTCCTTCATATACAGAAAATGAAACAAATTTAGAATATCATCTTTGCATTTTGTTTTAATTACACAATGCTGTCATCTAGCAGTCTTAACAAATTAGCAGTAAATTAAGTATCGGTACCTGTAGAGTGTGACAGATTTGCCCTAGAGACCACCTCCCTCGGATATAGTTTTCTATCTTAGCATGCGCCTTCACCACAGATGCACCTTATTATTAAAATACAAAAGATTAGACACAAGCTGCAATAGTGTAGCCTGCACTGCAAAACCTGAGTTACAGCATTACATCACCAGTCTTTATCCACTCAAAGCAGTGTTACAGTAAGTGTGTGTGTATGTGTGTGTGTGTGTGTGAATGTTGAAGATGTTATTCTGCAAGATTTCTGTTTGAAGTTGGCAGTTCCAACTGGCAAACAAGTCTTGTTTGTTGAGTACTGAAGTAATCTGTAACATCACTTTCCTTCCGTAGATATACAGGGAGTGTAGAATTATTAGGCAAATGAGTATTTTGTCCACATCATCCTCCTCATGCATGTTGTCTTGTTATAACCATGTTATAATCAACCATATTATAACCAACCATGTTATAACCATGCTATAACCAACCATTTTATAACCAACAATGTTATAACCATGTTATAACCAACTGTGTTATAACCAACCATGTTATAACCAACCATATTATAACCAACCGTGTTACAAACAACCGTGTTGTAACCATGTTATAACCAACCATGTTATAACCATGCTATAACCAACCGTTATATAACCAACCATGTTATAACCAACCATGTTATAACCAACCATGTTATAACCAA